CATCTTCACCTTCTTCTTTCTTTTTGCTTTTTTTCCTTTAATATTTTTGAAAGTTGTTTTCAATGGAATATCTTCCTCATTTACCACTTTTTGCTCACTAAAATTAAAAAAAAAAAAAATCAAACAAACATGCATAGAACCTCTTAACTTTCTGATTTACAATTATCTTTTTTAAACACAATTAAAAGTACAAAATTATAGAATTGAATGAGAAATTTGCACTTATGCATCGTTTATGGCCTTCATAATTGCAAAAAAACTTGATTAATTTCTGAAGATGATTCGAATTTTGAGTAAAATAGGGTTTCTTTGAAAGGGGGAAAATGGGGAAGATGAACGGTTACTTTTTACATTTTTTTGCAGAGTAAATTTTAGGAGAGAGAAAAGTAAAAGTTTACTTCAATTAAAGTGGACCCCAAAATTTTCAAAAACCCATCAATTGTCCATCCCCAATTAAATGCGCGTACTCTTAAAACGTATAGGATATTCTTTTCTAGACCATGTTCTTTTTTATTCCATGTTCCTACTGCGTTTTATTAAGTCAGTGATGTCGTTTTGTAGCGGGTGTACCATGCCCACGGTACACCAGCCTGTACGAAACAATTATTATACATTAACATGCAAAATATGCGCATTCCTAGCAAAGGCACCCCATTTGATACACCTCCAAATGTTTTGGTTCTCATTTTCATCAATTTTTCTAAGCAGCTTCATGTAAATCATATGCACAATCTCCATGCACAAGTTTATCTATCAATAATAAATACAGGATATTGTTCACTAGGTAGAAAGCTTAAACTTGATATAAGACAGTAGCTTTCATTGTAATTAGAAACTTAATTTACATGCACTTCAACCAGCTACACTAGCTTCCACTGGATGATTCTTTACTTTTCTCTGGGACGACATCCTTGTCAGAGCTGCCTGCATCCCAGCCTCAGGTTGGCCTGACTGCGACTGACTTCCAGCTTGAGAATCAGAGGCGATGCCGAGTACATTAAGTACAGACCTGAGACCATAGATGCAATCATAATCCTCAGTCCATGATTTTATGACAAAAGGTGGTCAAATATGCCACAAAACAGAGATAAATTTGGACATACCTTGGGAGAGAAGATTTTATATTCGGCTGGTTTGCATGAGCAGCCAGAGGTGCTTTGAGTGCAGGAATTTTATTTAGAGCAGCTTCAAGCTGAGCTTGTGGCAACTAGAAAAAAAACAGTACTAACATTTAAAACAAAACTCCAAAGGCACCACGAATATTCAGAATTTATGCGTTGTAAACATTTTTTCTAACAGAACTTATGTCAGGCTAATGTGATTATACCATCCAAAGAAAGTATAACTTTATTTCACTATTAAACAGTGTCATGCACAAACTGTCTGGTCTTGAAGGAGTTTGCAAGCAGACAGCATTATTCTAATGAGAACATCTCTTTACAAACCACCATGCGCTTAATGGCAACAAGCAAAAGTAATTTAAGAGTTGCTCCCTCTAGGTCCCAGATTCAAGCTAGTCTGCAGATACATGTGCTCAATTAAAAATGCTAAAACCTAGTAGGATTATTCTTATGAATAACTTACGAGGAAGAAGTCAACCAGAATTGAAAAGCTTCAATCTCTTTCCGAAAGAAGATTAGGTAGCTTAAAGTGGAAGAACCAAGAATTCTACAAGCCTTTAAAAATATATATATATGTAGGGTTGTGATCCAGTGAGAAGATTCTTAAAATAGGAAGGATGAGAAGCAATCTAAACCATCCAAATCTAATAATCCTACGTTCACAATTAACTCAAATATCATGATAAGAAATTTTGATCTCTGCTACTTCTAAGTTCTAATTCCAGAGAGCAAATGAATTTTAAAAGTTTTGACTCATTCATATTGCAAAATGCAACGAAATAGAACTGTAGTATACTACTTTATAATAAATACAATTGTTGCATTTAAAAATTTGAATATCCAAAATTAAGAAATTTTCATAGTGAAGTGATGAGTGTGGTAGAATTACAAAGTGAATCATGAGAGGTTTTTGTTATCATGAGTAAGTGAGTATGTCATCTTACCGTAAAAAAAATTGCACATTCATGTAATAAATTTTGCAAATTTATTTAATAAATTATGCACATTGTGTTTACAAACTTTGCATATTCGATTTAAAATTTATGCATATATTGATATATATTTAGATAAGAATATATGCACATTTGGTTGTGGGGTTGGATTTCAATCGTAGTCATTGGATAAATTAAAATATGAACGGTGAGGATTCCTTCTCATTCTTCTTATTTTAAGCCCCTTCTCATTTAACCCTATATATATACACACTATAAAACTTAGGATCCCAGTTTTCAGTTTTCATTCATATGTGAAAACAGTAGAATCATACTGAATTGAAATATCGTTGTTTCTATTTTAGTATAATATAGGACTTTTTTGTTAGAAAATACCTAATAAAACCTAAATTTTGTGAGAAACTACCTAATAAAAAAAATGTTGTAAGTAACTACCTAATAAAAGGTAAAATATTGTAAGATACTACCTTTGGCCGAATTTCCATCGTTGACCTAATTATATGGCGTTGACCCACCTCAAAACATCCCCGAAACTGCCACGTGGGTTGGCTTTTAAGGTGGTAAAGTTATTTTCGTGGTGGTTGGAGGATATCTGAGTTGGTGAGGGTAGTTTTGTGCTTCGGGGTGGTTATTTTTGGGGTTAGAGGTGGTGATTTTGGGGTTGGAGGGTGGTTTTGGCATGGCGGAGGCAATTTCAAGTAAGTTGTGTTAGTTTTGGGGTTGAAAGCGGTGGTTTCGGGTGTGTTTTAAGGTGGGTCAACTGCGGAAATCCGGTAGAGGTAGTATTTTACAACATTTTACCTTTTATTAGGTAGTTTCTTACAACATTTTAACATTTTATTAGGTAGTTTCTTACAAATTTTTTTATTAGGTAGTTTCTCACAAATCTTGGTTTTATTAGGTAGTTTCTGACAAAAAGTCCTATAATTTGATTCCCTGATAAAATGCCTAGAAAAGATGGCTCATAAAAAAACACGGAGACATATCAGAACATTGGACATACCTGAAGCAACAGGGTAAAAGAATGAGGCTGTGTCAATTGTGCACATTTGAGAAATCCAACCCATAACTTTGGGTATTTCCATATCTGTTAGACAATGTGCCAATCATAAGATTCAAGGAAACATGAAGGTATGAGAAATAAATAGCAAGACAACTTATAGCTGAATATGTTACCTGCTTGCTTACAAGTCGAGAAAGGATATCCATTATGAAGTCACCTACAGTGTGAAAATTAAAAAAATTTAGAGTAATCTTTTCAAAGTGAAATGCAAATGAATACTAAGACTAAGAAACCATTGTAATACACTAATTCTAATACTAATAACCAACAAGGTCACTCTAAGCTGGTTGAAATGTAAGGCAAAATAACGTTGTTAGAAGTAGCCTCAATTTATGAGGCAATGTAAAATCCTGCCTCACAATTAAAATGTGCGGTGTAACAAATCCAACAAAATATGGTGGCAAGATTTTCCTAAATGCATGAACAGATCACAAGGGTGGATGATTATTTAGCTAAGTTGGTTAAAGCCTTGAGGGGGTGGTACTCTAGACCTAGGAACAAATTCCGTCTACATCATTTACCCTAGTGGCTCTCTCTACACCAAAAAGAAAAAAGAAAAAAAAGAAGAGATCACGAGGAAAACATATACCTATAACTGAATGTATCCATCAAAGGCTGTTTTGGTTAAGTATTAGTTGGTACTTCATACAAGTAGCATGCACCATAAATAATAACACAATATTCAAGTACTAAATCAAAGCAAAAAATGATCTCGCCATCCGAAATACTTGAAATATGAAAGTGGCAGTTAAAGGTAATAGTTGAAAAATGAAAGTGGCAGTTACAGGTAAATGGCATCTCCCAATGAAATTGGCAGCTAGACAAGATCAAACTTAGGGTATGCTAATACATATAGTCAAACAAATTAACTTGAAAATGAAGAAAGACAGCAAGCAAATATCTGAAAAATAGCATATCTTGGTCATCACTTTGTGGGAGCAAATCACTCGTACTCCTTCTGTCCCACATTACTTTTACATTTTGGTTTTTTCATGCGAATTAAGGAATTTGGGACATTATATGATTTAAGTATAAAGGTTGTCCTTTTTTTTTTGTTTGTTTTATTTAATTAATCTATGACAAAAAGGAGATATATCATTTAAGTCATTTTGGAACTTAGTGAGATATGGTCCCCATAAACTTTTTATTCATAGTGGGTACATTTTTAGGGAAAAATTGAGTATATTTGTGTCTTTAACATTTTCCAATGAAGGCCTAATGAGGATAATTATAAAAGGAAATGGGAAACACATTTTGGGACACCAAAAATGGAAATGGGAAAAGTAAAGAGATATGGAGGGAGTATTAATCTTGCCTAAAGCCGGTTTCAACACAAAAGTACTCATGGAAGAGACCTTAACCTTCCAAGTGAATTTACAAATAAGATAAAAGAAGCAGAATTAAAATTTAAAAGAAGAACATATGGCATCTCACAAGGGATTAAGGAAAAATCAGAGAATTGATTCAATGGAACAAAGACAGGACTTAGAGTTTGCTAAGACTTACAGTCAGCAAATGAAATAGCCAAATTAGATGCACAAGATGTGTACTTAAAAGAGTTTATTAATTTATTTTTTTTTTATTTCTAATAATACTATTATTTTTCTTTTTCTCCAGCCCCTGACATTTATTGCACAAGTTTGGGGTAGCTTCACATATTATGAACATTAAGTGGCTTGAGCAACAGATTTTAAGCACATCAAGACAGCAAGCCAAGCGGCAGAGTTTATATAGCTTTGTTTCAGACAAAAGAAGCAAATCTTTGCTTGCTTATTTCAACAACAAATAAATTAAAGAAAGACATAATAGAAAATAGCTTTAAAGGCTAGAGAATCAAAGAAAGAGCAAAGTACATTAATATTACAGCATGCAGAAGAAAAAAAATATCCCTCTTACCAAAGCTGGAAAAGCACCGATTGCTTGTAGTACTGTTCTCATGAACAACAATGGAAGAGGAATCTGTTCAACCTACAAGTAGAATAGGGGAAAACAAAACCAAAGGCTATAGGATTAACATAAGGGAAAAAAATAAAGAGAAAACAGAAGATTGTTCAGAACATACCAGCTGATTCAGAACCTTGGCAATTACTTGCTGTGTGAACAGTTGTCTTTGCTCAAAGCAAGCATTACATGCATCAGTCACCTGTTCATGGAAAGGAAATACAAGTAAGATCATATTAAGATGGGAATCTAGACACAAGCAGATGTAAAAATATAAAGATGGTGACAAGAAAAATGCCTTCTTCAAAGGAATTCCATCTTTATCAGGATCTATGCTGTGGATGGCAATTAACACTTCTGATGGAGTTAGCACAGGATTAGGAGTCGAACCCTGCAAAACAATTGGTTCAAGTGGTTAGATAATACTCCATAGAATGGTTTAAGTAGTTGCTGAATCTATGTGGGTTTTCCCACTCAAAATCAAAAGTCAATGGATTCCATGAACAAAGAACTTCTCAATGCGAATAGTTTTCCGTTAACACTTTGGATACTACCAAGAATAGCAAATCATGACACACATCCTCCAGGCTCTAGTAGGATGAAAAAATCAGCATATAGGTAGTTCAATTTGACAGTTTAGGCAAAGAGAAAGAAAAAAGTCTTCCCTCTACTTTTTGTCATCTTCCTCATCTTTACTTGAGATAATACATTAAGATTAAAAAAAAAAAAAAAAAATAGCAATACAAAATTTCTACTGCTTTCAGATCGACATCCTAGTAGTAAGAATACTATTCCAAACCGGCAATAACAATTAGCAAGAATATACCTGCAGCAAGCGTGCAAGAGCAGTCTGGAACTTGTCTTGGGGAGATTAACAGCATGAGGGAAGACCCTCAACACCTGACAATACAAAGTCAATAACGATTACTCCATAAATTGCCTACTCCAAAAACCTAGAAATACAGCTATAAAATAATGATATGCAGGCATTGAAACTGTAGTCAAAGTTATAAGATGAATAGTGAATAAATCTAAACATCTCATCTATAGTGAAACGGAGGTAGTATTTCCACAGCAACAATAACAATAGTCGGGGGTCCTAACATGAAAAAAGTGGTGAATCATCGAAGCAAAGGTGATCACAAAAAGACAAGGAGAGACAGTTACAGCGTTATTTTTGGGACCCTCTCTTCCTCCAATGTTCTAAAATATACTTCCTCTGTTTTTTTATACTCGTAACACTTCTCTTTTCACACTTGCCGATACATTATTTCAATCGTTAATATCTTTAATTGTGAATATGTAAAAATTATAAACATCAGATATTAAAATAGTATAGATCGAGACTAATCTAACAAGATCCCACATGACTATATTTTTATTTAATCCTAAATCGTTAAAGCTAGTCAAAGTAGAGTACATGAACAATGTAAAAGTCAAACTGTTGCAACTATAAAAAAACGGAAGAAGAGTATATATATATATATATATATATTAGAAAGAAAAAAAAAACAGATGTAGCTTCAATCAGCACAAAGGTAACCTAGAATTCTGGAAGTTGATGAACATAAGTAAACAGGTTGATGATATGCTACATGCTATTACCATCCCTAACAACGCTTAAAGGTGAGGGAAATTATACTATACACTATCCAACAAGTAAATACAGAGAAACTATCTAAGAAAATAATTCTATAAATAGTAGCATTTTCTCTGCAAGCTGCAGGTGATAAATCAAATGCCTACACAGTATCATTTACAAACAAGCATGAAAGAGATTAACATAGAGAGCATAATTGTAGAAAGAACCTCCTCTTTTGGTAGAAAGGGCAATATTGGAAACAGAATCTCTATATCCTGTACCATGCAAAAGTAAATATGCATTAGTATATTACCTATTCTACATGGAAGTTATGAGAAGCAGAGATAAGAAAGAAAAATATACTATACCTTTATCTTTGTCTCATAAAGTTTTTTAATAGTAAATATCAATTCTGCAGATGGAACCCTGCCATCTGTAAGAGTATGCAAAACCTATAGCATGGAAAATTATGTGTCTCAGAATTTGGGCATTTTAGTTCCACATGCCTCATAAAAGGATAAAAGGCAAGGAAATATTATTCTCTAAGGTACAATAAATCTGAACAAACCTGCATCAGAAGGTTCTCACTTCCATCAGGTGGATCAGAGATAATCTCAAGAAGAGGTGGTGATGCACCCATTGTCCGAATAAGAATAGGCATCTGGCTATGAATTGCCTGTACAAAACCAAACAGTTTAAGAATGAGCAAATAAAAAAGTGCATAAATAACCCAGTCAAATGACCTTTCACATGCAAATCCAAATACACCTGTTTCGCTGACTCTGGTGAGCTTTTATATATGATAAATATTTGACGAAGAAGAGTATGTTTCTGCAAGCAAAGTCGACCACAAAAGACAAAATATTCAATTAGACAACAGATAACAAAGTCAAACACAACCAACTAAGAAAATGTGTCACCTTTGTACATAGGGCAAAATACAGTGACATGCATTGTTGTGCTTCAGATACGGAAGTACTGGCAACAATTCCCGGTGTGCAAGGCGGGGAATTATGAGCAGATGATTCTATGGCCATTGTTTCCCCTGTCGATTGGTCTTTCGCAGCCAACGTTATTTCAAGACTCTGATCAAGTTTAAAAACAACGGGGTAAGGGGACATCAAAAACAGATTGAAATTTACACGAAGTGGAATGCAACCATAGAGAATACAAACGCAAAAGCACATCAGGTTCAGAATTCAAATTAAAGCAGAGAATGATAAACCATCAACCACGTTACCAGAGGACATTAGCATAATGCACATCACCATAAGAAGAAAAGGGGCCAAAAAGAGCAAGAAGTAAGAAAAAGTTAAAAAAAAAGTCACCTCATCAGGACAAAGAATTTTAAAATTTAAAATCACATCAATGTGACCACTTCACCATCTGCTCATCCATGTCCTAGGGAGCACTTTCCATCAACAAGAGTGAAAAGAAAAGCAAGAGGCTTCACATGGTTTTTTTTTTTTTTTTTTTTTTTTTTTTTTTTTTTTTTTGTGGGGGGGGGGGGGGGTTACCAAATTACAACCTCACAATTTTTAATCATGCCAATGCTTGGCTAAAGTTCATTCATCGTAGTAAAATCCCATGTCAAATGTATTCCAGGTGATCTACAAGCCCACCGTAAATTAAATAATCTGCTACACCACAAAGTCAGATCATCAATCACCAGCAGAAAGCAAAAACATTCATAACAGAGATCCCACAAATTTGAAAGACAACAAATTATACATTCAGAAAAAAAATAATTTTGATAGTCTCTATTCCGAAGCCAAACAAACATATCAGAATCAAGAGTAAATTTCAGATTAGCTCTAGGGTAAGGGTGTTTTCAAAGACAAGGAAGATTTTTTATGAGGTACAGTATTACGGGATGGAGTAACTATATATAAGATATAGGGTAAGGCCGTTAGGGTGAGGATATGGGTACACTATTATGGGACGGAGTAACATCAAATAAAATAGAGTTATAAAGAGTGTCTTATTGCATAAACCCATTTTTCTTTGCAATTCCCGTGATTTCAAGAGCTCAAGTAATAGTGTTTGGCGCCATATTAATATAAAAGAGCATGACTGAGGCAGGTTTGTAAATCTCTCCAATCTTTCACTACCATCTCATCAGAAAGAAATTCACCCTACCCTTACTCTGTATAATGGGTCTTACTCAGCCAACTATCTCTTACAAAAAGATCCTTCCCCACAATGGTAGCTTCTGAACAGCCTACATATAACAATGGAGCTAATCTGCTGGAAGGTTGCCCAATCCATAGATTAGCTCTAGAGTGCAGGT